TTTTCTAGTAGATTTTTGCCGTTCAACCAAAACCGACCCGTGTAAATTACAACTCAACCGTAAAATGTAAATGCTTTGGCAGCTTTAGCCTTTTAGTCCCTGAATACGTTGATTCGAGGAGAAATTAATTGTTTTTTTTTTATTAAAATAATAAATGGAAATCTATTACGAAAACTTGATTTTTACTCCCATTTTGAAAGTCCGAACCCAGCAAAGAGCGATCGATGACGGTCAGCTAGTGATCAGTATTGCGAAGTTTTTTATTTAAAAAATCACCAAAATACTGAAAATAGCGCAATTAAAAAAAAAATTTGTTGCTGTATGTGCAAATATTTTAACTAATCACGCAATGTCACTTGTTAATATTTCCAACTATACACAGTTAATTGATTAAATTTGCAAAATGTTTTTTATTCGTAAAACAATTTGCGAAACTTTACTTGGGTTTTCTAGCGGATTTATTTTCATGCAATTGTATACTTTTGTGCATATGCGCACACCCAGCTTATTACCAGAATATTCTATGAATTCCAAAGAAACGACAAAATTTTCGCGTTTTAATTCCCAAAAAGCCCTAAATTTGTTGCGAAAGGCACGAAGTTGGCAATAGTGATAGAAATGTGCAAATTTGCTCATATAAAAACATGGACAGATAGTGAGCGCCTGCTTAACGAGCGTAAGCATTGTATGCGTATAGATGCGTGAGCGTAACAAAGTGAACGCAAAATAATTCAAATGTAATTGGCACACTACCACAATCACACTTTCAGCTCGCGTTTACTTGTGGCAGTGATCACATCTGCTCATATACACTACTCGTCATTTGAATTGCACACCCTTTTAATCCTTAGTATTTACAGATTTCCTTTTGTTTATTTAATATTATTTTTTTTGTAAAAATATAGCATATTCTACGGATAAATGCAATTTTGAAATTTTTTACAAATTAAAACTTAAAAAGCAAATTTCTTTTCCATTTCTTGGGCAGGATTTTATATGATTTTTTGTTTTTCTTGAGAGCTGAACAGTTCTTAAAAAAGGTCAACATAGGAGTGTGCCGTCCTAATGACCTGCAGTGAATAAGTTAATAATATTTTTAGAGACATTTCGGATATGCAGTTTTGTACCCCATTCAATTTAAGTGTATTAAAGTGCAAGATTCAAGTGACTGTAAAATAGCCCTGATTTTTGAAATTTTTTTATTTTTTATTGAAGGTGCTGCGCATTTTATTCCATATATAAATTTTGTCGAGCATAGCACCATCACCATCACCAAAAAAATTTGCAAAAATCACCGCTATTACACTTGAAACTTGCACTTTATTGTTCCCCTTTGTTGACATTTTTTTAACTGTGTATAATGTTTTAAAATCGGATGAATGAGTATTAAATAAACAAAAGGAAGAATGTAAATACTAAGAATTACACAGGCCAACAAAAATGAAAAAAAAATGTTGGTGCGACAAATGTTAAAGCTATTTTTGATAGACTGTTTTGTGCTGATTACGAATCCGTAAGTACAAAGGATCCAACACGTAGAGGTTTTGAGAAAATCGAGGTCAAAGTGTCAAAAAATCGGGCTTTTGCAATATTTGAGAAGCTCTAGCAAAGAGTAAAAAGGTGATAGAACCTTCCACTTAGGCTTAGATTAAAGCAAGAACCCTCGACTACTATCCTGAGATACTTCGCCGACCTAAACGGGGTTAGATCGCCGAACACCCTAACGGCCTTGTCCCTGTGGACCAACCCCACAGAAGCGTTAGTAGAACTTGACGACAACGACTGAGATACCAACCGTCCTGGGCGGGGTTGTTGTAGCCGCTACAACAACAACAACAACTACTATCCTTGAAAATACCATTCCTGCACATTGAACTTATGGGCACTTATAGTCATTTATTGAGCAGTAAAATTTGACTTTTGGCGAAGTTTGAGTCCCTGCCGCAATTAAACAAAAGGTGATAGAACCTTCCACTTAAGCTTAAATTAAGGCTTGAACTTTCGACTACAATCCCTAAAAATGCCATCTCTTCGTCTTGACCCTAAGATCACTTATAGTCGTTTATTGAACAGCAAAAACTGATTTTGGCAGCGTTTTTTTTTCAATAGCACAATTTGCCAGCATTTTTTTTACTGTTCAACAAATGACTATAGATGGCCATCAAGTAAAGGTGCAGGGATGGTATTTTCAGGGGCAGTA